CTAACTTTGCAGACAGGAATTGGTGAGGGTCACAGGAATTTTATCTAGCAAACAGCAAGAAACAGCCACTAGTTACTAAACAACTTAGAACAGTGCTAAGTATACATTGTACACAACAGAAAACGCAAGATTTACATTTATAGCCTAAAATGTGAGTTAACCCATTACAGTTATCACCAAGTTTAGGGTCAACTTCGGGGGTGGGGGGAATAAGATGTGTACATCTGAGAAAAAATGTTTAAATGAGTCAAGAAATTATTTTTCCTTTTTATTATATGGAATGACTCGTGAATAACTGTCATTGAGGGTATGGTAGAATTCAGTATCTTCACCTAAGATAGGTTTGATCATTTTTTTTTTTTTTCCTTTCTTGGGTCACTTTTGGTATCTTTCTAAAAAATTGTCAGTTTTGACTACGTTATCTAATTTGTTGGCATATTGTTCAAAAAATTTTTATAATCTTAAGTTCAATTATAATACCACCCTTTCATTCTGATTCTATACACTGAGTTTCTCAAAGATCTGATTACTCTCACAGGCTATTTTTGTGCCTGCTTTTTTCCCTTATATTTATTATAATTTAGATAATAGAACAGCACCTTGGTTCACAGACTTAATTCACTCTTGAATTCTAGAAAAGATGGTAACATTCTCGTGCAGGAAAGATGGCTATAGTCATGTTTGTCACCCAATTCAGAGTTCACAACTTTTTTTTTTTTTTTTTTTTTTACCAAATGCTTTTGTTTGCAAAGTAAATTGTTCACAAACAAAAGGGTTCATGCACCTGAGGTACCACTGTATGTTGTAGCACTTCTGAATACTTCTTACATTTCTGGGCTGGTTGTTAATTGCTTGTCTATTTGCTTAGTATTAGCTTGGTTATCTGTGAGATTGTGTGTGTGTGTGTGTGTGTGTGTCACCAGGGATCAAAGCTAGGACCTTGCACTTGCCAGGCAGGCACTTATGCCACTGAGCCATCACTCAAGCCATCTTTCCTATAAAATTTGTATGGATTTTCTTGAAAAATGTTTCTTCATTTACCATTTTTTCTTAATTTTTTAAATTAACTAATTTATTTGGTACAGGGTCTCGCTAGACAGCTCAGACTCATAGTGATCCTCCTGTCTCAGCC